CGAAACAAGTGCCTGTTTTTTTTGGCTCGATAGTTTACAAAATTTTAGAAGCAACATAAAAACGGGATGAACAAAAATGAAGATAAACAGCCTGAAGCTATTTATCCTGTTGGTAATCATTCCTAAGGAAAAATAGCTCCTATCCATCACACGTTACAGGTTCCAGAAGAAACGCTATCTACATATTATGGGGTATCAAACTGTATGCCATTCAATATGTACTTATTAATTGGAGTTAATTGGAGTATTAATTTTCTTGAATTATTTTTAATGATTTTGATTTTGGTAAAGTTTTAGTTCAACTGTACCATAGATTAACTTATTTTTTTTCTGAGGTTTCTAATGAGTAAGACCATGCTTCAGTGGCACAACCTTAGTAGTGCTTCATCAAATTCAGTGATACCAATATCAAAGTTGTGCTTCTCAGTGAACTATATTTTCACTTTCTTTCAGTAAAAACTTCTTTAATATATTTGGTAAGGACTTAAAAAGCAAAAACTGTTACTCTAAATGTTGAAATTTATTCACTTTTATCTTTTAGGGTGAAAATCAATTTCATACAGGTATGTACTTATGAAAAACTGATAGATTTATTTTGTTGAATTGCTCTCGTGCTATGAACAACCATGAAATTTACAGCTCTGAATATCCTTGAGGTAACACATAGCATGCATCGTATTACCAAGAATTCTCCACTCTCCCATTTTTTATGTGACGTATTGCTCATGCTTCAGCTGAATCTACATACGTTCTATTTTCCTGTATAATTCAGATTTCCTTGTTGACAGTGGTCCTGTTAACTTTGTTCACAATGAATTATGACGTCAACATTAACTACTGCTACATATATTTTCACCAAAATCAGAAATTATACCTCTTTGGAGGCCTTACTCATCCGGTCTGCCTCTAGCATGCAGGGAGATCTTGTGGCAGCATTTGTTAGCCTTTGATCAACATATTCAAGCCTTTAATTCTGAATTGTCTGCTAGTCTATTTTATCTCTCCTTTTTTTTTTCTTTTCAGGTATGTTCTATTTAAAATTTGAGCTAATTTTTCTTATGTCAAGTTGGACAATTCAATTATTGAATCTTTATATTTTCCACCTTCTCCTAGTTTTGGGACCATTGATGATACTTTTAGAAATCAGCTAAATGTTAATGGTCTTTTATAACTTAACTTAATCCTCAAGTTCTTGACTCTCAGTTCCATATTACTATTTTTTTTATTTTGTGTGTGTGTTGGGGGGGGGGGGTCGTTCTAAGTTTATTCATCATCAGTCTTCTGTTCTGCAT